AAATAGAAAAACGATATTTGTCAAAAATAAAACTTCGCTATACATATACTTTGAGTTGTCAAAATTGGCCCCAGTCTCTCACTTATAATTTAATACTTCGAAATGCTGAAAAGAAAGCCGCTGTCGAAATTTCAAACTTCAACCTCGCACTTCACTCCGGCCCTGACCCCATCGAACCCCTCACCGCCGCCGTCGAGAGATTCATTACGTGCGCTCGAGCTTTGTGACGTCACTTTTCAACTCCCGACTTCATGCCAGAAGGAAAAGCTCACACAAAGTACGAAAAAAGCCATCACCAGATCACCGTCTATTTTCGTAACTTATTATCGATACACGAAATTAGAAAGAAGGACGCCTGTACGGTTCCTCACCGGTAAATTAATCGAGCAGTGGCGTCGACACGAAAAAATATTCGGCATCGGGTCTCGTGTCGAATTACATGCTGTTAATCATACATCGTTTGGGAGGTCGGTCTTCTTAAGTGACTTTAAATACTGTTATTAAATTAATTCTGGAATTAAGTGCCATGAAATCTTCCAATTTTGCAGTGTTACACGTTTGACATTAATTAGAACTTGTGTTGGCGAGTTGGTGTTTTAGAACGAGTGGAACAGTTTTAATAGCGGCGTAAAAAATACCATGCGATCGAAAAAAAAAAACAAAATTAGCGCAGCGTGTCACTATAAAGCTGCAGTTGGCAATTCTGTTTCGTGGAAAACGTTTTTAGGTTAAAATTAATTGTCATGTTGACATTCATACGAACACACGTCTGTGGCATTTGCGTCAAGTGTGTCAATTAATAACAAATTATGAGCATTAGCTGTAATTTACAAAAAATCTTTTGTGCTGTCATAACCGAAAACGGTGTCATGTCGTAGTTCTTCAATTTCAACGAGCAGAGGATCCAAAACTTCTACATTTCAGGTGTCATAACTTAAGGCATTCAATCAAAACTGCTTTTAAAGTTGAATGAATAATCAAAGTAGTTTACAAATGATTGACATCTATATCTCAGATGTTTAACGTAATTGTGATAAAAATTTTACGATCATTAATTCCCGAGCATACGTTGGGTATTAGGTTCCACTGGACGCATGGTTAATTTCCTGTTTTCTCGAAGTTTCACAGTTCTTCGAATATGAAAAAGTAGGTACCCCATTTCCATCTTTACTGTTTCTCTATGATCGCTGGTGTGCTCTACGATTAACGTATCAGTTCGTACTTTTACAAATTAAATATCTTCAGAAATGTGTTAGAAAAGTTCTTAATTGAGTTCTATTTTTTGAATTGTTACACAGGATTTGTCAAAAAAGCCCACTGGAACACGAATTTGAAAAACACAGCACACATCACTGTATAAATTTGAAGCCTTGTGTAAGTAAACGGTTTTATGTAAGATCAAACTTTCTACTAAAAAAAAGCGGAATAGTTAATGTCATTAGTTGAGATTTTTGCCACAACGAACGATGCTGTCTGAGTTTTGGTGGCGTGATAATGATTTATTGATCTCCATCATCATTCCTAAATTGTTAACCAGTTTTTTTTATTACAAATATTTGTAACGATTTTGTTAGCTTCTTTCAACTATTGATCTGAAATTAATCTAACAAATTTAATCGCTTAGAAAATCAGACTCGTCTAAAAAAAAGTTTAAAACCACTACACGTTCACGAATTATGCATCCTAACCCGTTTTGAATACAATAAGACGTAATACATATGCACGTGAAAATTTAAAATTTGACACCTGACTTCCAAAAAGTCTTACATAATGAAAGAAAGCGGATTTTCGTACCGGAGGATAATACAAAATCACATTATTATAAATCAAAAATTAAATATGTTGCTTAACTTGTTTAAATAGGATTACTTTTTTGTTAGTAAAAGCGTGTTACCTTGGCGCAGTGGTCAGAAGAGCATGGGAACTTACAGATTTTTTTGTTCATATAATAATCCATCTAAATGTGCAAAAATATAGTGAGTTCCATTTAAATAAACTTTAATGTAGTGCTTAATTTATAAAAAGAACATTATTCACAATGGAAGCTGCGATAATTTTGCGTTGTGCGTTTAAACGAGTTCCCGTAGTGTAGTTATAATTTAAACGAAAATTTGAAATCGTCAAATTGCAATAAACAATCATTTAAAGTAACTTCTCGTCTACTAGACCATTATTAGTACGCCTCGATTCGATCAAACCTCCAATGCAGACCATTAATCTAGCCTTCCACATCACATCTTTTCCATTCTTCCTTACCATCCATTGTTATCGACCACACCACCATCTAAGTACCTCACGATCCACGATTTATTCGAACCAGATCGACCAAATCATTTATTATTGTTGTTGTTTATTATTACAATAATTCCACGATCATTTCGTTTCTCACAATACGAACATACACGTGGGCGTTTTCTTTTCTTCTTCTTGTTCCATCCGTGTCCGCATGTTCCCGAAATGTCAGTACGAAAAGGTTAAAGCAGTTGCATAAGATGAACTTTTCATTTGCAAAAGTTACAAGCGATGATTTACGGGCGTTGTACTCAGGGGCGACTCGTGGGAGGTCGATACAATCGCAATTTTCTCTCGTCCATGCAGTGGCGCGTAATTTTTATTTTGGTAACTCTAATTTAAATTCTTTGGATGGCATTATGTAAGCAGCGATGAATAAATATTTGAACGTTTCATTCAATGCAAATATTTTTTTTTTGTAAAATCGAGTGATGATTAAATGGATCAAACAAATTAATTCGTTTCAATGGAATCGAACGATTAAAATTGAAGAGACGAAAAAGTGGGTGTATCGATTCGCGCTTATACAGGGTGAACGATGTCGGTTTAAATTTTAATGACGCAATCGATAACTTTCACTATCGTGGGAAAAATCGTACAGATGGCCTCGGGTGTTAAACACATAAAAGTGATATTTATATTCTTGAGTATATAATTAGGTAGTAGCCGGCGGATGTTTCCACAGACTTTATTAGATGTCAATTTGTCATCTTAAAGAGTTTGTGCTTAACTAATTGGTGAACGTTTGAAGTCGAATCATGAACAGACTATGGGTTGCAAAAGCTGAGGAATTATTGCAAGTACTGCAGTTACTAAGCGACAATTATTCACCTTTAAGCCGGACCTTTCAACAGGAAATTTCAAAATTTGTTACAGGAATTTAAATCCCGCGATTCGATTAACATTTGAAAATGGCAAATGAAAAATAACTTGTTCTCAGAGTATAGCAATTTCCGGTAAGTGAACGGTAACTGAATGAATTTACAATTTTTAAGATTAAATTAGAGTCTATAAATGCTGTACATTTATTTTCGAGCACACAAATAGCAATTGAACAAGTTTTACGTATACTAAACATTAAATTTAAAATCGGCTCAGCAATGTTATTTTTAAAACTGGTCATGTATCCTAATCGTAAAACAATTTTTCTAGTTAGAACTAAAAACAATACATAAATACAAACGATTTGTTTTAAAAATATGTATGTACAACAAAAATTAATTAAAAAAAGACGTGTCTATGAGAAAAAAGTGACACACTAAGTTAGCAAGAACTACTCCGTTAAATATTTTCCTTCTTGGTTGTGAAAATGTATACATAACTTCTCAGGATTTTAGCACAAAATGAAGAATATATATAATAGAACAATGAATGATACTAGACATTTACTCATTAATACTGACAAAAACAAAGTATTATCCATAAAATAAACATTTTTTTTTTAGAACAATACTATGAAATTTTTACGTACGTACTTTACGCAAAACTTTGTTTGTCGTCATTTTTGACATATCGAACTAAAAAATGAATTATGTATTTATTCTGAAACTCACATCACTATTGTTTAATAAATATTAGAATAATGTGAAAAATGAAATAGGTTCCAAGTTCTGAAAATCTTAACATATTCCAAAATTTTAAAACGCTTAACATAATTGTTCAGGTCTTACTAATTAGGTCAAGCAATAGATACGAAACTTTCAAGCATTTAGTAGTTAACCATAATCGCCCATATTCTCGGCAGAAATAAGGCACAATAAAATGATCTAAAATAAAACATCAAATTTTCAAGATTCATTTTTCACTATAAATTTTACCATTTCTCGTCCAACAAAATATACGATAAGTTCAACCCTTCCCTGTAATTGTCCTCTAATTAATTATTGGTCTAATGAAGTTGAAACTTTATATGAAACGAACCACACATTGCATCAACCGTGTTTCAAATTTACATCAATTTGTACATGTTTTGCAACTTCAAACGAACTGTCACCTTTGGCAAACACCTTCCGTTGCAAATGACATCACAATGCAATTCTGTCAAGGTAAATCCACTCAACACAAATTTTTGTTTATGCTAAACACAACCCACGCAATTTCCGAAGAAAAGTCAATTTCGGAAAATTCGAAGGAAATGCCACCACATTCGTTTTAATAAGTCCGTATTAAAAAAGTATCGAGTGGGCGTCTGTCTTTACATGTCAGTCCGTGAGCGTTCAATTAAGCACAGACGTGACTTGCACAAGTCATGACGTCCAATTTTTTTTTTCTTCTTAACTGTACAAGATGGGATTTGCATAGATCACAGCCATTATCGCACAACTACTTTCCGGGTTCTCGCTCCAACGGCGCACTTAATTTTTTTCTGTTTATGGCCCCATTGTTCCCCAGAATCGGCGATTAGGTATTCCGGCAGCGCGTCCGCTATTAGAGGAGTGTCCGTTAATGAATGAAAAGGTGAAGTCGTTCGTTAATTTGTCAAGAAATCGCCAATTAGCAAAAGTGGGTGGAAAATTAACCAGGGTTCGACCAACCACGAATTGGCGACGGAACGACATTTTAAGCGGAAAAACGGGAAGCATAAACATTCTTAAAAGATGATTCAATTTTTTAACGAGCTGACGTAATTACGTGCATATTGTTGACATAATCCAACTGAACAGTAAAAACATAAATATATTAAATTTAAAAATATGTTAAGGACTTACCGTATTAGAACACGAAGCACAGGATGTGGACTCCTCTGGAACAGAAAAACGAATATTAGAATTCGGAAAAGTCACGAGATCGTTCGAAACGTGCGGAAAATTTTAATTACAAACTGTGTTGATGAAAAGGAAAAACGTAAATATTTACAAAAACGCTAAAATTTAACCGCCCCCTTCCAAACTTCACACGTTCCATTTCATCGCCCCGAAAACCAAACAAAAAGCTTTTAATCGAATCAAACCCCACAATGTGTAAGTCTTCACCCCAAAAAAATCTAAACTACTTACAAAAAAATCAACTCGTTCTTCGTTTACAAAAAACAAAAATAAAAAAAATCCAAACAAAAACACTTCTTCTCAATCCAATAAAACAATAAAAAAACAAAAAAAAAACACGATCACTTCTACCCCTGAACCCCGTCTCCGTACACCTCCACACCGTGCCACCTCCGCCGTTCGACTGCCGAAACTCGTCGAAACATCTCTGAGAATTATAACAAACGAACATGTTCGTGCCGCACCGGCGCCGATCGGCTGCTTCCGGGATTACGTCAATAGTATATCCATCTCGCACCAACACACCCCCGCAACAATGGTCGCGTTGAGAGCGTGCGCGCGTTTATTTCGCAGCGCCATCTAGCGTTAATCGCGTGCATTAACGACGAGAAAAATCGGCCTACTTGATGCGCGAGGAGCGGACCTTCTGCTCGTCGTCGCCGACTGCGATGAGGAAGAACGAAAAAATCGGGGAGGGAAGAGGGGCGGGGGCGAGGGTGAATCAAGGTCGAAATTGCGCCGCCGACCGATGACGCAATTAGAGATCGCCGGGGGTGGTTTTTGGGTTGGTGGTGGTGATTTTGTGTGTTAGTGTGTACGACGAAGCCGACTGCGAGGGGGTATCGATTGGGGGCGGCAGAATGGGGACTGCTTAATTATTGAAGGTGAAAATGTTGTTACTGAGATTTTTTGAAATCCTATTACTGACACGAGCTTTTTACAGTAGAGTTTTCATGTTTTATAATTTCGAACAGACGGAATATCAGAGGTGAATCGCCACGGTTGGAGGAGGTTTGTCGAAGTGGCTCTTCTATTTTAATACGTTTTCCTCAAATTGCTTGATAGAATAGAAAATATTCAAAGGACCAAGTTCCTACGCCAACTACATTAAAAGATCCCAGGATTTCTTTAAAAAAATTATTAATTTGTCAATTTGTTAATGGGATTTTTTAGTAACAGAAGAATGAAAAAATGCGGTAAAGTTAATCCATCGTATTCGTGTACATAATTTATGTATAACATTTCCAATTTTAACATCCATCCATGCTAAAATGTGGTCCCAATTATCTGTTTTTTTTTTTGTCCATTAATTTCTCGTACTAATGGAATTAATTCGATAAATTAAAAAGTAATTGTAATATATTACAAAAATAAGTAGAACAGGTCTTTATAGGTAGATTTTTTTGTGCGTTATCTGTGTGATATCAGTAATCCTCGGTCTATGACCTCGTGTCATTTTTGCTGCCACATTATTCACATTTTCTTCAAAATGCAAGCTTTCCGTTTCTGTCTGCCTGCCTATTGAATTCTTTTTTAATCTGCTAAAACTACCATACCGATTACTCTGCAACTTTAAGTGTGCTTTAAAATTACTCTAAAGATAATAAAATGCTAATAACGAACCATCTAGAAAATGACTATATTTTGATTTAATTAAAAAAAAAACGGTTTCTTCGATAAATTAACATTTAATCGTCTTAACTTTTATAACAAAGACCCCCAAAGTTAGATAGAGACTCAAACTAAAACTGCGAATCAATGTTAAGATGATTTTTTTTATCTGGGGGTCCACTACAAATATTTTCAGTTTGATATAAATAACCAATTGGTTTAAATAGACAAAAAAAAACTCATAAAAATTAAAATAAAACAGTAAAACTAATCGTAGTTCTTATCTCACGTGATTTGTTAAGTTGAATGAGGTGTGCCTGATTTATTGTATTCTAATATCATTAGATTTTATCGTAAAATTTGTGGTTAGTGTATTCAGAGTTTTACTTAAAGAGATTTTATAAGATAAAAATAAATGTTTTGTGATTTTTTTGCAACATTTTTTTCAGTCAATAAACGAATCCGTCCGTATGCTAGCGGAAGATTACGCATTTATCTTGAATTGTTGAAAAAAATCTTTCGCGATATAAAAAGAAATTCTTTAACACAGGTTGCATTTTATGGAATAAAATGGACATATTTAAAATTATAAACTGGACGATTAAATTTACAAATTGTCGCTAGTCCTGTTTATTAAATGGCCCATCCTGTATTTTATAACACAGGCTAACATAGTTGGTATAAAGAGGAAACTTACTAAGAGACAAGTTCGAAAATGTTATACAATACAGGGTATTCCGTTTGAAAAATTTGAGAAAATTAACCATTTTTAAATTTACTCACCCCGTATAAATAATTTAACAAAAACTTCAATTTTTAATGTTTGTCAAAGAACGATAAGCCGAATATATGTTTCAGTGGTCTGTCTTGAACTGTCAATTTTTGATCAATTTGCGCAGTATTTATTATCATCATGTAGTGTTAATTAATGGTACTGTGCCTTTTTTCGATAGATTCGAAGCTCATTTTTGAACTTAGTCCGTCCCTGTCACAATACGAGGAAACTTGTTAGAAATTTCCAGCTCGAAACCTAATTACCATAAAAAACAAACACAAAAAACCAATCCTAATACACAAATAAACATAAAGTAATAAAAACACAAATTAAAATATTGTGGAAAACCCTTTCAATGCAACGTAACTGCCTAGAAAGAAAAGTAACGAAACAACAAAAACATTACATACAAGATAATTTTCATGAGCGCGACAACGCTTTTACATTAATTACTAAGCAACAACAACAATAATAATAATTATTATTTCATTTAATTAAAAGCGGGTGTTTCATTAATGCCAGTGTAGACACGAAACGGAAAAAATACTAGGCACACCTCAGATCGTGGGCCGGTTTCGTGAAAAATCTATACCTTTACGAAAAAGGATTGATTTTTCCCTAGCTGCAACAACTACATACTTCCTTTCCGTCCGGCCATTACAGATAGGCGCTCCGAAAGTTTAGACCCGTCGGAAGACAATTTACATATAAAGTGTGTACTAACTCGGCCAACAACACAAAACTTGGTGAAATTATTAAAGCGCCAAGTTTCTGTTTTGAATCAAAGCGGCGGCGGCGGAGGCGGCGGTTTTCCTGGTAACGACGTTAATCGAAACCGTACACGTTGTTCGTAATTATGCCATCTGAAAATGATGGTGGGGGTAGGAAGGGCGAGTACTGATTAGGCGTCGTGTGAACGCGGCCTTAGGATGATTTCTGGCTGATCGATTGAGAAACTGTGTCGAGTGACGTAACGTGACCATTTTAAGACGGGTTTTATTATCATTAATTATATCATTCGATATAATTCGATTCTTTAATCTTCACGTCAGGCTGTAAACTCTTAATGGATGTTGTGTTGGTGTTGGATTATGGCGAAAAATTGTTTGCTCTAAGGTCATTCCGTATAAAGAGCGAAGGAGAATCGTGCGGAAAGTGCTGCGTTGAAATTGGTTTGCTAGATGGAGATTGAGATTTTAAAATTTGTTTTACATTTGCAAAATTCTCGAAAGGTGTTACGCGAGAAATGGCTAAATTGAAACAGAATTTCAGCCAGCCAACCAATAACTACCGACTCAAAAAGTTTTGTTTGATGTCGAAAGTCTGACGCGAAAATAATGTTAAAACAGGGTATTAAATAACACAAACGAATCTGACGTTTTAGTGCAATTTACTGAAACGTCACCAAGATTGTTTCAAACTAAAACTTGTTTTCAGATATTGCGTCAAAATGGTTTTTAGCGTGAAAATTTATTGCTTTGATTTAATAATACATAACTACAGTGTGTACCACTTCAAGAAATTATAAAAAATGTCTCTTTCTTTCTCCTCTTTTTCTGCTCCTTTAATTTTTTGGAAATAAAGATGATTTTCAACAGATGTGCTTACACGTCAAAATACAACATATTCATCATTTACGCACTGTAGAAAAGAATAGTAACTTTTTTTGAGTCGTAAAACTTTAATCTCCATTTTAGAGGAATTTAATTCTAAAGTTGTGATTGATAGTGGCAATTTAGTATAAAATTTAAGGTCCTAGTAATGGACGCAACAGCGAATTCTGTACATTCTATGAAAGTTTATGTGTAAATCATCACGTTGTTTTAGACGTCGGTGATGAATCTCTTCGCGAACAGTAAAATGCAGTACAGTTGATTTCATATACACCAAAGAAACTAAACTATGAGTGGGAAGTGTGAGTATAATGTTTGGAAACAATGCTTACAATCGTTCCTGACGCTTATAATGCACATTATTCTAATAATCCTGTGCTGTACTTTAAATAGGCGTTCTGGAGCATGAGAGTGACCCCAAGCTAAAATACCGTAAGTTAGTTTACAGTGCACATATGCGTAGTATACTACTATACACTAAACATTCTTTTGATAGAGCCTAAAACAGATCCTTGCGGTGTGCCTATATTTCGAAAATAGTACCAGTCACTAAAAAGCGGTTTAAATTAAACACACTTCTGTTTAAAACCCCAAATTTTTGGCAAGACCGTCAAATTTACTTTTTTTTTTGAATTCATGAATAATATTTTACGTAAAATCACACCAGTACCGAAAATTCTTGTTGTGAAAACTTACATCTCCAAACTTTCAAATTTTAACCATAACCGTCACTCTCAAAACTCCTAACTGTAACCACAAAACGAAACCGCCAACCCAAAATACAGTTCTGGTAATTCCAAACCCAAAATTCAGAAAACTAGCCATCCATCCACAAACCCATCTACACACCGTCCGAGCCAGACGTGCGGAACGGTAAGCGAGCACCGGAAACACGGAAACAGCTGAACAACGTGGGGCAGATGGACGCCAGCACCTGCCCCCTACAACCCGCCGCGAAAAAAAAAACAGAAAACAAAAACAAAAAGCGCGAAAACGCATAATCTCACTGGAAAAAGGCGTGGGCGCAATCGGCCTTGGACGCAATTATCCGTCATTGTTTTTAATTGATGGTGGATCGGGGTCGGAGTTAATCGCGCGTGGTTCGCCGCCGTCGACATCATCTCCGTAGAGGTATAGCGCAGCAGTGGCGGCTCGTCACGGACAGCAGGATGGGCGGTCTGCCGAGGTAACTACGTGCAAACTAAAACTTTATCAAGGGGATTTACTCCTGTGCTTGCAAATAATATTCATAATGTTTTATTATTCAGGGAAACCTTGGTTTTGTCAATGTTTTTAAATATTTTTGGATTTGGCAAGAGTTTTGTGTTCATCACGAACGCAAATAAGCAAAAAATCTTTCTGCGTACACTCGGTAAACTTTATGCATGTAGGGTGGTGATTTTTTTTTATTTCTTGGTTTCGAAATTTTCTTAATTGCTTTCTAAACCCGAATGGAGATTTTTTAGGTTAACAATTAAGGTGATTTTTTTTAAATTTACAACTATACGGAAATATGTATTTCATTTTTTTTTTTTTGCTTTCCTGGACATTAAACGTATTAAATTTTAGTGAAGTTCATTGCCGTTGACACGCTTTGTAAACGGGTGTTTAATATTTCAAAATTTGAAATTGAAAACTGCACTTCCAATTTACCCACTGCAACTTCCACTGCATCTCCTGCATTAATCATACTAATCCTGGGATTTGTCAAGCCGATTCTAAATGTCAAAATAACAAGGAAAGTTACGACTACTAATTAAACACACTTGGAATTAGTGAACGATTTATTTGCCTCAATTTAGACCTTATTTGGCGCACTGAAGTGATTTTGTATAACTCGTGACAGCTTTATTTTGACGCAAGGGAGGACCAAATTCATAGCAAACTAAAATGAAATTTTTAGCCGTAATTTTTGAACAAATTGATGCATTTCGTTTATTTAAACGAATTCCCGTTTGTAAAAGGATCTAGATTTGCGAATTAAACATTAAACATTCGCTATCATATCCGCCGTTGTACGTATAGTTTTCCCAGTTCTAATTCAGTTTAATGATAGTACCCCATTGTGTAAAACTTAACTTCCTTAACAATTGATTACTACTGCCGGTGATGGGACAGTCATAAAACTAGGGTATGATTAGTCACGTTAGTCAAGTTTATTCCTTGGAAGATATTACCATTTTTAATTCTCAAAATGGTCAATTTCAATCGTTTAGGATATTACTGAAACTATCTAAAATATATATTAATTATTTACAAATACAATGACAAACTGATATTATATCATATAATATCTCTAGAAAAATCACAATATACAAATACCAAAATAAATATACGAATAAAAGAGTACTTCGGAACACGACAATCTCGGTAGTAGCATTTCTAATATTCTGAATGCAAAGATACATTTTGTTTTTTGACTAAAACCGGTACTCATCTAGCTCTTTGTTTTGAAGAAAAGTTGCTGGCACTTCTTAAATACAATAAATACTTTTTGAAGGTGCTTTTTTGCTCTCCCGAGACACAGTTATACTACATTAATTCTCATTTGATAAGACTGAAGTGTCTTTTTAATCTCGCATTTAACACTGCTTCTTTTACGGAAAGCTTTTAATTGCGAGAACTCACTTGTGTCAATATTATTTCTAACTATTCACATCGCTTTCAGCATAAGATATTCAGCCACAAAGAAGGAATTTAAACAGTTTTAATTTTTCAAGAAAATATAGGATTACAATACTTTTGTCTTTGGTTTTAAGTTCCGGTAGAAGTAGCGTTTTCAAACAATTCTTCTGATCATTCATACTTAAACCAACACAAAATAAAAGCGTAAACTTTAATATTTCTTAATCTTTCATGTTAGTGTGATTGCTCTGGACTCAACCTTGTCCCTATTTTCTATATGTATTGCTATCAAAAGCTTTGGTTCAAAGAGACTTTACACTTTTGTTTCGAATATCTTCGTTTTCTGAACTTAAGTTTTATTCTTACGGTGTGCCAAGTGATTTCGGCTCCATAGCGTAAATTCAAAAATAATTTTTTGTTTTCGAACCTTCTGTAGGTACACCTTAATACTTAAACTTCTAATGAAGATGTACTTTTTATAACCCGTGCGAAAATTTCGGCACCATTATATGTGAACTAAAATAAAAAAGAAACAGGCACATTAAAAAAAAAACAGCTTTCGTATCTGCTACACATATTTTTAATCATTTTCTGTAATCAGGATTTTCCACCGACAATCACATTCAACGCCATCTACTTATAGGATTAGCGAGGGCAAATTACAAACCTTCCTCAACTCACGAGTTAATACGACGCCGCTTGCTATTTACTCATGTATTAAATAGCAATACAGCACCTATTAATTCTCACTTCCAAGGAGTCATACAAAACTCACTTTACTTTCTAACGGTTTTAACGGTTTTAGTACCAAATTATGCTATACTGTTCTTACTAGGTTCGTTAAAAACGGTTGGTAAAATCTGTAACGCGATGCTGACAATGAGTGGGTCCACACAACGAATTGTTGTAGAATAATTACAAATACGTGACCGTAACTAAAGAAGCGGTTAAATCTGCTATGACTTTTGCCAATTGATTTATTAAATTAGACTGGTTGAAGCTTCTAAACTTTATTTGGATACCGTTTCTCAGAGGCAAGACTTTCTCATCCTCGTCGGAGCACTTGAGCTATAGTCACTTTAAGTTTGTAGCATGAGTGGTTAAATAAGCAGGCAACTCTAGGAACCTGGACTCTGGAATTTTACGTAAACATCCTCATGTTGGCATTTTTTCCGAACTGGAATTGGGTTAACAACTTTCCAGAAGTGGTATAACAATTACAATAATTAATTAATGACCTGCAGTCGCTCGTCTGCCCACTATAAAAAGCGACAAGTCGCCACTGTACCACAATAATGCGTGTGCAATGACTAAGAGCAGGAGCGCGGGACTGTGAAAATAACAGCGAGAATGATGTCATTTCGACATTGTTAGGTACACGTTTAATGGGCTGCGATTATGCAAGGATTTTTCTTTTGTGTAACGTAACGGCAGTGAATTAATTAGAGGAAGAGAATGAGAGACGAGAGAAGTAGAGAAGCGATGAGGGAGAGAAGTGGATCAACTCGGGCTTTACTTGCGGGAATGATGTATTGGATTATTTCGACAACATTTTTATGCTTGATTCTGGACTGTTTCTAATAATAAATTTGTGTTGCGATCTTTCTCTTCGGGAGAGTTTCCAGGATGGTTTTACATTTTATTGGGTTTGCTAGAGTGGATCGGAAAATTTCAGACGTTTAGACGAGCTATAAAGATTTTATTTTTATTTTTAAAAATTGCGTTGGGTCTGATTGAATTGGAGGCATTCTTTCTAAATGGTAGACGATCTAATCGTATAAGATGACTAAGATACTAGATATTTGGAGCACGAGCGATGACTTGCCCTTTTAGGTAAAAAATAATATTCGATATTGTCGTTAGTAAAGTTCGCTCGAGGAAAAAGTTCAAACTATGTAAAGTTCATTCGAAAACTCAATTATGAGCAGCAGCAGGCGATATGTAGTGTCACTAATTAAATGAATATTTGCCATGGAAATTTTCTCCATGAGTAAATTGCTGAAGCAAAAAAAACCTTCAGCAGTCAACAGTGACAACTGTAGAGAAACAGCGCTGGAAAAGTTATAAGATATAAAAAAAAACTTACGTTGGGCCAAAAAACTTTTAAAATTTCTCGAATATTTTGTTGAATAAATGATATGAAATTTATTAACTTATGTCATTTGAAAACTTATTAATTAATGCATTGCTTCGGAAAATCTGAGGTTTATATATGGGTCAAAACTGCACAAAAGCTCTACAAGGAATACAAATTAATAGAAAATTTAATGATTGAATTAAAAATGTAAGATGTCAAAAATTATCACATCACCAACTTAACAACCATATCTTCGATTATAGGCCTTTTTAACTTTGGTATATTATTTATCTGACTTTTTTTAAGTCCAATATACTGAGGTTCAAAATAGAAAGCCTCAAAACAAAAATTTACGCAGCGTAATAAGAAAAGGAATAGCTATTTACCTACCAAGTAAAAATGCAACAAAAAAAAATTAAAACAAGTCGCAATATGCATTTTCTTTAAACACAAGAACAAATTTATAAATTATATTCTAATTATAGTAATTACAGTCGAATTACTAATATATTGTATTGTTTTTTTTTTTAGCATAATATCGCAATTGTCAGCTGATAATTATAAAAGTTAATATATATGCATAGGATGGTGCACAAATCATGCATACATTGTTACAGATGCGATCATGTTAACGTTATTGAATGTTTTTTTTTAATGGAACCATGTAGTTTTAATGTGATAAACTTATTACTGAATAATATTTATTGATTCATACCGTATGATTAATAATTACTTTAATAGGTATTTAACGCATTTTTTTTCAATTAAAATAAATTGAACGATTTTAGCAAAATTTCAAATTATTCTTAAAATGTAGCTTGTATGCTCTGCGACGTTCTTGTATCTTCCGGTATCAACCTTTTTCCTCTCCCTAGAAATAACCTTAGCTTACGTTTTCCCATTAAAACATAAATAAAGCTGACAAAAAAACTTACGTAGATCTAGGGAAAATGAATTGTAAAAATCAAACGATAGAAAAATTAAATATAGCAAGTATAACTTTGATTAAAAACAAAAACATTTTTAAATAAATCAACTGAACTTTCCCAAATGTCAAAGTGTAATCTGACAAACCAATCTTTCTGTTTTAACTTTTTATTTTTCACTATATCTAAAAAGTATACCTAGTGACTCATCAGAAACGTTAAACGATCCCAATTTACACACAGTTTGACAAAATCCGAGCGTTTTTATTGGCTGAAATTTTGTAAGGGAAATAACCTGACAAAACGGCCAATTAAAGGGATTTGTGTGTGTAATATAGGTGATGAATGTTTATTTCCTGCGATAAAACGCCCTCTTCCGTTGATAAAATTGCGATCGATGCAGAAACGTCAAATTAAGATGCATTCATGTTATAGGAATTTTATGGCTTCGGAGGATTTAGAGTGCAAGGTTATTACTTGGACGAAACAAATTAAAACCAGCAGAAAAGTCCGTGGCGCGATCCTATATATTCACCACCTTCTCCACAAAAGCGGAGC